TGCTGTAGGTGACCCTGCTTTGGCAGGGGTGTTGGACTAGATGACCCACAGCCGCCCCTTCCAACCCCTAACATTCTGTGATTCTGTATTGGTCCACTGTTTGCTGATATTCTTCATTTTCTTTTCTTCTTTTCTTTTTTAGGATGAACGTGAAGCCAGAGAAAATGTGAAAAGGGAGCAGGACGAAGCATACCGCATATCGCTGGAGGCTGACAGAGCGAAGGTGTGTGCAGGGTGAAGCAATCGCATGAATGTCGGGTGGGAATCTCTCCGCAGCTGGTAAAATCTCTCTGGTGCAGAGGACTGCCCAGCTTCAGCTCCACTCTTAAGAAGAGGCAGTTGCTGTAGGAGCCGTAATTTGCTCTCAGTGGTCATAACATAAGCAAGTCTGGACAGGCTGAATCGGTGGACTGCAGCCAACTGTGTGAGGTTCCACAAGGCCAAATGCCAGCTCCTGCCCTCGGGTCACACCAACCCCACGCAACGCTGCAGGCTGGGAGAGGAGTGGTTGGAAAGGTGTCTGGCAGAAAAGGACCTTGGGGTGTTGGTTGACAGCCGGGTGAACATGAGCCAGCAGTGTGCCCAGGAGCCAAGAAGGCCAATGGCATCCTGGCTTGTGTCAGGAATAGTGTGGCCAGCAGGAGCAGGGCAGGGATTGTGCCCCTGTACTCGGCACTGGTGAGGCCACACCTGGAGTACTGTGTTCAGTTTTGGGCCCCTCACTACAAGAAGGACATTGAGGTTGGTCTCTTCTCCCAAGTGGCTAGCAATAGGACAAGAGGCAATGGCCTCAAGTTCCATCATGGGAGGTTTAGATTGGATATTAGGAAAAAATTCTTTACTGAAAGAGTGGTCAGGCCTTGGAACAGGCTGCCCAGGGAGCCGGTGGAGTCCCCATCCCTGGAGGTGTTCAAAAAAACTGCGTGGATGTGGCACTTCAGGACATGGTTTAGCAGGCATGGTGGTGTTGGGGTGATGGTTGGAGCTGATGATCTTAGAGGTCTTTTCCAACCTTAGTGATGCTGTGAACATGGCACTGAATACAGTCACTAAGGGTAGACTTGTCTACTTCTTGCTAAAGCAGTCCTGGCCCCACTTAGTAATAGAAGTTGGGAAAGGAATGATAGGAAAAGATCACTTAATAACTATCCAGTTTCTTATTTTAATTTCTACAGAAAAGTTGAGGAGTTTCTTTGCTTGTATATAGCTGATGCCCATCATGAAACACAGCTGTGGAAATCAAGGTGATACATGTGTGATTACTGTTTGTGTTTCTTAGAGGGAAGCGCAAGAGAGAGAAATGGCAGAGCAGTTTCGCTTGGAACAGATTCGGAAAGAACAGGAGGAAGAACGTGAGGTGGGATGTTTTACCTTTTCTGACAACTTTTTGGATTCATGAAGGCTATGGACATTGCAACTTTCATTCAAGTATACTTTTTATGTGAACATCTTTTTTTTTTTTAATTTATTTTTTACCGTAGATATAAAACACATAGTGCAGCTAAATCGTTTTCATCTACTGTTTAACAGCTTTTCTGTTAATTTGGGAGACAAAACACTTTAAAAAAAAAAAAAATTAAGGGGAAAAAATCCAAAATCTAGAAAATTGGATTTATGGTACTTTTTGAAATTTCTAAAGAGTCTTCTACAGAATCTTCCTTAGGATGAAAATTGTGTTTAAATGAACACTTATGTCTCTAGGCCTATATAAGAAAATAGAAACCATGTGCTGTGAAGAGTACTGTTCCGCAAACTCTGTTATTTTGTAGATTCTGAAGGTCCTGGTGCCTTTCACAGATGGCTTCTGCAGCCTTCTTTCAGGGTCTAGGCTAGCTCCTGGCCTAGCTGTGGGTCGGTGTAGGCATTTACAGAAAGCATCACGTACACGAATTTACTTATATTAGTGGCTTCCTTTTTTTCACCTCCTGGCAAATACAAGACATGGCTGAAAGGCTGGGGCACAGCCATGTCTCTTCCCCGGAAGTCCCACCACATTTCAAAGAGTAGGTAAAATAAACTGGTCATTAAAATATTTCCGTCTGTTCTGTGGAGTTCTTGAAATGTAAGTCCTTACAGAACTGCCGTGGAACACAGCTGATACTTGAAAAGGACTTTGAAACCCTCAGATAAAATTTTCAAAAGAAAAGTGATATTCACATGTAAACATCTTGGCTGAAATCACAGTTGATTGTGGTTGTCCTTTGACTTCTAGGCATAGAAGATTCTGTGAGCAAGTTGCTAATGAATACAAAGCCATATCAGCATCTGTACTGAATATATATTTCCGGAGTATGTTTCCAGTTTTATATCAAATATAAATATTAAAAATATTTATTTGTTTATATAAAATGTAAAGAGTTCCAATATTTTTGGTGGACTTAATATAACGTTTTTGCTTTGACTTTCATGGTTTATGGAGATTTGAAATTCAGAATTATATTCTCATTTAATTCTCCACTTAGTTAAAGTCCTTGGAAGTTGTGGAATCCTGATAAATCACAGCCTTGCTTATTCCCCCCGACAAGTGACTTAAATGTATACTTGACATTTCAGTCTTGTGTACTTTGCTGATGTATGAAAAAATTGCATTATACAACTGCAAAAAAGTTGGCTATGAACACATTTATTATTCCCTGAGATAAACCCAATAAACAAACTGTATGAGCAGTGCATTTGCATATATATATTTTGAGCAAGATAATTGCATTAAAAAACTGGAACCGATTTAAACATTCAAGAACCTTTTAGACAGTACTGCGTTGTAAATACTAAAATCAGGCCAAGCAGTAGTGTTCGCTGGTTTGGGAAAGACGCAGTCCACTTCTGCTTTCCTACCCTACAGTATCTGAGGACTTGTTTAGCTCCTCTTGTTAACGTAAACCAAGAATGGAAGCTAAAACATAACTGAAGGAGCAATGCGCAAAACTGGACTGCGAGAATTGTCAGGAATAATTGTAAGATGGCAATTCTGTGAGGTTAATAGCAACCGAACGTAAATTGGTAGCAGTAACAGACTGTTGAGCAATCAGCTCATGCTCAGATTCAAGTAAGAAGTATGTTTTTCTTTCTTTGAGTAATTTTGCACGCATAGAAACAATAATTAATTCTGCTTTATTATATCTGCTCCTGAGCCTTTTCTGATACCTTGGCCTTTTGGAAATAATTTTCTTAGTCAAAGGCTGCAAGACTGGTGCATGTTATCAAAATATACCTGGGCTTCCCTGTTTTAATGTAGAGTGCAGTAATGAAAATAATAGGATCTGTTTGCTTAGTAGAACAAAAGGGATTTTAACAATAATGTTTACTAACACTCCCCATTTTCAAGTGTACAGATTACTTATACTGAATTGTTCTGCAACAGTGTTTGCTTACAGAAGTGGCTTTATGTTCAGTTCGTATATTTAAATTCTGACTATTGAGCTATTCACATACTGAACATCTTTTAATCAACAAACTGAAATTGCTTGTTCAGGTCCAAGAGTTATTAATGTGATCCATCACATCATTGTTTTCTGACTCGGTTTGCTGGTACAGAATATCCATTGTAAATTGCCATTTTACGTTGAAGCCTTGGAGACTGGTTACTTTGGGGAGCAGCGCACTCTTTGCACAAAGAAAAGAGCTCTAATGAGCTACTGTTGTTTATTTTTCTATAATATAATTGATTGGGTTCAGTAAATAATGTAGCATCTGTTGTTATACTGTGTGGGGAAATGTCAAAACAGAAAGATAGTAAGCAGGTGGTTGAGGATGGAGTGAGAGAGAAAATTAAAATAGAATCTATTTAAAATATAATCTCATAGTAGATGAGCAAAAATGAACTCAAGTTCTATGTATAAATATTTATACTGAGATATAATTTGCTCAGAGGTTCATGTGTAAGAACTAGACTATTGAAAAGCCTTCGTAATCTTGCTCCTGCCCAGTCTTTTCGCTGTAATGTAATCATCCTCTCTCAGTTTCTGTTACTAAATGACCTTGGGGAGGTTTTCAAAGGCACAAACAGCAACTGTGTATCTTGACAGTTCCGTGAAAATCTGAGTAAATCCCTGCCTGCCTCCTCTTCAGCTTGGAAAATTGTCATTTAGGAGTATTTTGGGGGAGGCAGTGTGATCATGCTGCTTCTTCCATTCGTTGCCCTGCTCGTGAGCTGCCGCCTGAGGCGAGGCGACGCTGTAACGAGCCTGCTTCCCAGGTACCATCGGATTCTTCACAGGTGCCGATGTCCAGGCGTAGTGACAGCGGTCAGTACCCTCGAAAATCAAGCCCACTTCCTTCAGCAGCCTGATATTAGGCATCAGTTTTTAAAATAAACTGATCAAAGGATTAGTGTTGTGGTAGCTCCTGGAGGCAGAGGACAGAGAACACAGGCTTGGCTCCTGCCCTTGAAATCTTGACATCGGCAGCACACACGGTGTTCGCAGGAAAACAGTCACGCGCATTGTCAGACGTGTGATGTCATTGCAATTTTGGGGCTGATTTCATGCAAGTTGGTGCAGAAAATGCGCACACCTGTGCTTGGAGCCATCTTCCTGCAAATAATAATAATTGCTTGTCTTAAATCTTGAAGCTCCCATTTCTGTCCTCCCAGTTTTCGTCTTTGACCATTCCTACTGTTATAGGTACTCTGCGTATCTCATGTACCTTTGTAATATTTTAAATTATGTTTTTTAACAGTGTTTTAGTTTAATTATAGTAAATCTCCTATATCTATTTCTTTTTACTCTGAGCTGCCACTAAGGGTCTTGTCTGTGCTGCAAATGGTCAATTACACTGCGCAAGAGGAAGGCAATTTGATACGTGCATTTAAAGAAATACTTTTACTGCCTTTTAACTCATACCCTTTGAGGAAGCAATTGGCCACTTGACAATTATTCTCTCGTTCACATTTTTTCCAAGGCTTTCTGCCAAATGATTAAATCACTTATCCCCATCGTGCATTAACTGTAGACCTAATAATATGTGTTATAAAGAAGGATTTATTTTAATTAGTTGTCTGGTGGGCTGTTATTAAGAATGAATAAAAACGATTTTGTCATTGAGATATAAAGCACAGCTATGGCTCTGGAGCACTGTGGCACATCTTGAAGTTCTAGAAGAAATAAAAAGAAAAGCTTTCTGTCCTTTTCTTCTCCTGCTAGCATTGCAACGTAAATGGTTGGTTTTCCTTCCTCAGGCTATCAGGCTCTCTCTTGAGCAGTCTTTGCCTCCTGAACCAAAAGATGAGAGCACCGAGTCCGTCAGTAAACTGCGTATTCGGACACCCAGCGGAGAATTCTTCGAGCGACGTTTCCTGGCCAGCAGCAAGCTGCAGGTTGTCTTTGATTTTGTAGCTTCCAAGGGATATCCCTGGGAGGAGTACAAGCTGCTGGGCACCTTCCCGAGGAGAGATGTGAGTAAACACACCTTTTGGGAATAAGTACTACTACTTCTTACTTCTGTATGTTAGGTCACCGCTGGTATGTTGTAGTACAGAAGGTAAAAGATACGCCTGAATACATTAGAGTGCTGCCAAGCTCTGTGGCTGTACACAAGTCAGGTGTGATCCTCCCAGTGCTGTTGTGTGTTACCTGCAGAACTGCGCTGCGAAATCTCCGATGGCGTTGTAAAAAATTCTCCGATTCTGAAACAAACCACTTGTGGATCACGTTCAGTGAAAACTGCCCGAATGCTCTGAGCCAGCATCGCTTGCTTCCTGTTTTGAAGGAAGCAGCATCGATATCAGTACGCTGTTTGGGTCTGTTACGGGCTGGTACTTCTGATCTCTCTGGTTTTGCTGGTTTGATGCAATTTTATGTTACGAGCAAGGAAGGCTCAGTGTCAGATAGTATGTAGTTTTGAGCTAGTCAGTGCATTCTAATAAATTATTCATCCACCTGTTACATCATACCGTTAAATAATCATTTATATCTCCTACCTTGAAATTCTAATGATGCACCCGCTGTGACAGATTTTCAAAATTAAGTCTGCTTACTGCTTACAAAAGCCAATTAAATACTGTTGGTTTATCAATAGATATTTACATGCTGGTTACTAGGTTTCTTTGAAAATATACCTATGTGTTGTCTGCCCTGTTACAAATTGTCTTTCATTTCTTACCCAGCCATTGTTACAGCAAAGGTAAAAGTCAGTGGGTCCCACTGCGCAGCAATGACCTGGGGCCCTGCGTGAAGGGCGAAGGTAACAGGCACTGCAGAAGCAGCAGAACAGAGCCAAGCAGTGATGGGTGAGGTGCAGCAGCTTTATGGCTGTACTGCCTCAGTACTGCAGATGAGCAGGGGCAGCTCTGGATCAGCCGGGGCTTTGTGTGCTGGGGGCATCTCCAGGTGACCGGTTAAGCCATTTTTCATCAAAGGAGCTCAGTAACTTGGGTTGCTTTTCCATTTTGTTTCCTATCACTGCCCCTGGAGGGAGTTCACTAGCAATAAGGCTCTGATTAGTGTATTTACTGTTTTGTAACAGATACCTCTCACTTTATCATCTTATCTGTAAGTACTCCAAGGGGAAGAAAACAATGTCCTTAGCAAGCATACAACTTCGAGAGTGGATGTAATTCATGAACAATTTTTGACATAACTCTGTGAACAGGATAGTGCTTGCAGCTCTTCTTCCACCATATCTTATACTGAGAATCCTTATCAGTCAGACTGAAAAGCAGCATTTAAGGAATCTCATTAGTCACTAATTAACTTTACTCCTTAAGCATATAATATCATTTCCAGTGGAACCAAAGACTAGAAGTCATCTATGTTTCCAGGATTACTCACCATGCAATTTGACGGAAGAAAAACAATCTTTTACAGTTGAAACAATGCTTTTGTGCATTTTAAATACTCTGCAAGTCATACCTCCCTACCTGTAATAAATTTATGTGTTAGTACATATTTAATATAAAAAAAACCTACAAGTATATTACTCTAACTTTTTACATTTGTTTTGCAATTTAGACTGGCTGTTTTGGTACTTTGTCACATCATAAGCATTATTAATTTTAGACTTCTGTAACAAACTCAAAAATTGATCAGATGACTCACTTAAGAACAAATGAAAAAAGGAGTAGAAAAGGAAGAAGACCACAAAATTAGAACGGGCTGGTATTTTCAGTACATTTGTGAAACTGCCAGGGAGAAAACTCTGAGGCAAAGAAGGGAGAGTTTAATGGCAAGGTACAGAGCCATTGGTCTGTGGCATGGGAAGCAAAGACCCTGTCATCTTTTTTCTGTGATTCCAACCTAATAATGCCATGTATGAGAAGTCACATAAATGATTCATGCCAATTGACTTGGCGGCTGTATATGAATCTGGTTGCCTTTGTGACCACCAGAGCTAAAACAGACAAAAAGTAATCCCCCAGGGTTTGCTAACCATTGAGAACTATAAATGACATCTGCCATGTTCCCTGGATTTGGAAAGTCGGAAGTGTGCAACTCCATAGACAGATTTAAAAAAAAAAAGTCAGTGATGAATGCCTTGCATGTGCAGTAGAAGTATATATTTGTTGCCTTAGGCTTCGTGGTATATATTCTCTTAAAAATGCACTGGAAGCTGTAAAGACCCTTCTGCTGTATGATACATATCACAAACATCCATTGAAATCTGTGCAACAGGAGCAGAGCACTCGGGATGCTTGTGCTCCAGAACACAATAGCATTTAAAATGTCCGCTTGTATTTAAACTATGCGAACATTTTTGAAACAATATGTTTGAAAGTATGAGAATTGCTTTGCTGGAGTTTTTGCTGCAATAAGATGAAAACATGTCTTCTCAAGTTAGTATTTTTTTGTTCTATCCTAATTTCTATGACAATAACATACACACCCCCAAAAGTGTTTCTGTCTTATCAAAACGAGGGGATTATCTTCATCCAAATCAGCGTTTCCTTGTAATAACCTTCTTAGAGCATTTTCACCTGCTTTTCAAAGCCATCAGTCCTGATACAGTGTTGTTAAAGTTTTTTTACTTCTTTGGTAAATAAAAATTCATTACTTCTTAGTTCTCTGTTCTAGTTGCTTACACAGATATCCTTAGCTAACTTAAAGTTGGTATCATAACCCTACTGTAAATACAAACTTCTACACATGAGTAAATATACAGATTAACCTTTTCCAGACACTACTTGTACATTTTAAAGCAGCAGTGACATTCCAAAGCAGTTAAGCACATGCAGTGACTCGTTATTGGGTCTTTCTCACCGACTGTATTGTTCTTTCTACTAGCGCTGAAATTAGGGATTAACCACCTCCTCTCTCAGTACCTTAACCAAGGCAGCACCGCGTACCGTTCCGACAGGCGTGTGTCACGCGGGTGAGCCTGGGTCAGCAGGTAACTTGTACCTCTAACTTTGCAAACGTTTGGCAAGCACAGCTTTCAGAGTGAAAATCTGTAATGCAAGTTCTTTGCATTATTCTCAAATGCACCTGCAAATGCTCTCTGGAAGCAAATGTGCTCACGCTATTTAAATGTATGTGCTGATTTTGGAATTATAGTTCCTTTTCTTCCAAAAATTGCTCTGATCTTGAAAATGCATTTAACTATAACAAAAAGAGCTTACCCTAAGCATATTAGTGTGCTCGATCAACCTTCCCATTTAGTATTTCTTCGAAGACCCTTTTTCTTAAAAGCCTTCCCAAACACTACTTTCGACAGTCCTCTCAATCTGCCAGCTGCGAGATCCGCCTTCTCCCAGTGCCCTGGAGACTTCCAGGGTGATCCCTTGCTTCTGTGGTGGAGATCTGCAAGAGTCTTCCTAAAACTCTGCAACTTCTTATGGACTGGGCATTTCACCACACGTTGGAGAAGAAGCAGAGGTGGTCCAGGTCCAGCTGAAACTGTAGGAGGAATGTGCAGAACAAACTGACCCAAACTGGGCTTCAGCCACTCTGCCAAGGTTAATGATGTGTTTGTGAACGTTTTGTGGTACCTCTCAGAAAGGGAGGTCCTGGCATGCTCTCTCTTTTGAAGGACTGCTTATGAAAGACTAAATTTATTCATTTATTTTCAAAAATGAAAATTGCAAGCTACAATTTCTTCTGCTCATTTCTCCGTAAGGTGGAGCATTAGTTATGTATTTGAGAGTATGCCTTTTGCAGACACAGTATTAGAGACTTAAGCTCTTTATTTACTGTATCTGGAAGCCCTGGTAAGCCAAGACTTCTACAGTATTTCACATTTTATTTTTCTGAGCCACAGCTTAGGATCAGGTGGCAGTTAAGTCACTTAAGGTTATTTAAATGCATCTAAAATGTTGCTTAATAATTCAGAACCAGTTTGCTCTGTTTAGAGTATTAAGATTTTAAAAATCCTTTTAATTAACCAATTTCAACAGCAGTTTAAATAAACAGAAACAAAAAATCCGTCTCCCTTGAAAGGGTAGAAAATAATTTTAACTCAAATTGCATGTAAATTTAAACTAGGTATGATCGGGATTTCAGTTAACTTAGGGCCAGATAATTCTTAATACTAGATGGGATTATAGAATAAGATACCCCTCCAAAACCAAATGTGATCATTCATTCATTCCCGTGCTCTGGCAGGAGTAATCCTCTTTGGTGCCCACTGTGGTGCAAGTAACACCACAAGATGGTCAGGTTAGCTGCAGCACTCGGCACACGTAGTCCTCTGAGCAGGTAACTATCCTCCGATCTTCTCAGAAAGGTAAGGTTAGAGCACGATCCCTATATTGCTGTGCCAAGTAGTGTGCCAATTTTGTATGTCTGGGTGCTAGAAGCCATTCTTTGTAAGGGTTATTCTGCGTTTCACCCAGTGTAAACTACTCCTTTCAAATAATCTACTTTTAACCTCATCAGGTGGTGTTCAAACTTTGCAAATAGCTCGTGAAACAGTGTTACGTCCAGGACCGTTTCTGACTTTTAACGCTCTTTCCCCTAATCATCATCTTCATAGAAAGATGGAAGAAAGATGTTATCGTGAGAAAGGGATCATGTAGCATCGTGGTTATCCCCAGTAACACTTCTAGCAACTTCACCTAAATTGGGGAAGGTAGCTTGAATTATGTGTCTTGTGGCGAAGGAGGACTTCAGATGAATGAAATATTTTTCTGATATGCTCAAAAAAATTGAGAATGTTTTTGTTAAGTTCAGGGAAAATGTAATCTATGATGCATGTAATTTTCCCAGTCATTTCAGTTACTAATACTTGTATTTCCTACTACATAAAATAGTACTCGTCTGTTTGAATTCAGATCTGATGGTGGCATGTATCATCTAGTTTACACAAGGCCGCAGCACCGACAAAGGTAGACGTCCCTCCTCTTGTCATTTAAAACCGTCCTTGGGTCAATACTACCTGCCCTTGTCTTTCCTCTCTTTTCAGGATACATTGTTATTCTATTTATTCAAGCAGTTGTGTTTAGTTTGGTTGAGACACTGAGAA